GCCCTGGTCAAAGATTGCTGGGGAATCGTTTGACAGATGGTGGAAGAGAAACAAAAAATCTAACGCTGTATTGGGAAATATGTCACAGTGCTCTTATAATCAAAACAATGGGTTCTTTGTATTGACACGGAGTGTTGTAGCACCACCGGTTTAACCAATTATACATGAGCTATAGGGGTTAAAAATGAGGATTTGTTGTCAGTCGACTCAGCCTCTCGCCAAAACGTTATTTACACCAGTATACTATCTTCACAGAAACACTGAAAGTGAGTTAAAGACATAATATGTAAGATTTTTGTTTCAAATTATCCAAAAACACTAAGGGTGCTTTCACACCTAGACTTTTGTTTCGGAACCTGTCTCGTTTGCCCAGTTAGCGTGGTTCGTTTCGCATATGTAAATCCAGCAATCTCGCTCGGATCTGCGCCAAGTCAATCGGTCCAGGATCGTCTGAATGAGGTGGTTTAGGCTTGATTGAAACAAACTCTGGAGTGGATTGATTGTAGTGAGAAAGCGATATGATCCGAGCCCGGCTATATCACAGTGGTTATTGGATATGTAATAGGCATACGGCTATATGAAGACAGAAGAGAGAGTTTATTCACACGTGACTTGTTTTAGCTATTTTGGTCCATTTAGAAACTTTGCCGTGTGAAAACGAACCGCACCAAGAACAAAGAGCAACAATGTAACAATTTTAATCCCTGTTTCAGAACAAATGCATTGATTTACTGGTGTGAAAGCACCTTGAAGAATGTGCAAATCCAGAGAAATAAACAATTTTTACTTTACTATTTTCATCATACTAATTATGTCATGCACCCTCAATTTCCAGTTGGCTTTTTTTAGATCTTTTAAGATGTTGTGGATTTTATTAGACTGCACGGAGCAGCAATAAAACAGAACCCTAAAATAAATTTGTTCTGATAAAACAGCAATGCTCCTTCTCCACTTGATCACCATGGAAGAACCCAGAAGTGGTCATCTGTGGTATAATAAAAGCTCTGCTGCTTTTGTGTGATGCATTGCGTTTCAAATACTTTTGCTCATTCATAAAAACAATTGCAAGAATCATGTAGGATGCAATGAAGATGATAACTCCCATGACTCCACACTTAGTCATGTCATCATCAAACTACGCCTTTGTTTGTTTAAACAGGCTTCACCAAGAGGTGAAGAATACATATTGTGCCTTTAAGTGATACACAATACTAATAACAACAATAATATATAATGATTTTCTTTTACAAAAATGTATACATTTGGAATATAGCCTTCTTGCATTCTCTTCCAACAGCAGCTCTCATGCATTACTTTTATGAAGTACAGGTTTGTGAATGTTTTATTTCATGTGTAAATGTATTAATGAGCTTCTTTATTTCATGCAGAGCAACATACAGAAATAAAATTAGTCACCAAAACGTTACATATGTTTACACATGATGACACCTGACACCTTGCATTAAATTCATCATTTTATTTGTAATCACACTAAAATTAATTGCTTTAAAATGTAAATGCAAACAATTGTATACATGTTAAATAATGCTAAAACAGTTTACACTGCATTAGAAAGTCATTGAACATAAAAGGAAGGAAAAAATGTTCTATATTTACCTGCATTACTGAAATCTTATATTATACTTAATTGATGTCAATGTTAATTATTTTCAACTGTAAAAATGTTCTAAAAAAAAAGGTTCTTGAATCTGCTTTGCTGATAGCCATGCAATATTCTTCAAGTAACAGCACTCGTCCAGCCTCTTCACCCTTGTGTATTACTCCACTCACATATAGCAACAAGCAGAGGACACTCTACAGTTTGGCAAACATTGCTGCTGTTGAACAAAATAATTTACTTTTGAGGCTTTTTTAGTTGAGAATGTAGTTGTTTAGATTGCATCTATGCAGCTTATTTATAAGGATAGGGCTTATTTTTAAATATTTATAATTTCTAAGAGACAGCGGGTCGGCGGCCATTAGCCTGTCATTGAGAAGAGTGATGGTTGATGTTTTCCATCCACAAGATGGCGACAGAGACCGCATAATAAGCCCTTAGAGGAGGAAAAATCCAGCGTTATTTTAAACTACAGCTGATCAAATCATTATAAAACTTATAAGTGACTTTCTAAGTCTATATTTCTCTTTTTTTATGTTGTATTCATACAATAGTAATTCATTGTAGTGTGTTGAGTGTGAGATGGGACTTAAATTAAAATACTTAAAATCGGAGATGGCTGTTTGTTTCTAATGAGTCTCCTGTTTTCACTACTGCAGACTAGTTCAGTATACAGAAAGAAGAAATGCCCACGTGTTTAGCATCTTTCCTTATCACAAACACAACAGTAATCTAGTGGTTAGGTTGCTTTGACTTGTTCGGGGTTAATTATTGTGAAGAAAGTAGTTCCTCTTACAAAAGGATTTTGACTCAGCGTGTTTGATTTTCTTTTTTATATACACAATAATGGCAACGAACTGTTGTATAGACGCAATATCACACTCATAGCAGTACGATGTGGCTGTATATCATCACTTACTCATATGCTATTGCTCATATATATATATATATATATATATATATATATATATATATATATATATATATATATATACATACACACACACACACACACACACACACACACACACACACACACACACACACACACAGAACAGTTCTGTCTGGTTCATAAATCTGATTGGCTGATAGCCGTGGCCTGTGAGATTTTAAAGTAATATCAGCACTAGTACAGCCGCTTCACCCTTGTGTATTACTCCACCCACACAAGTGGCAAGCTTAATTTTGCAGCTGTTGGACAACATAATGTACTTTTGAGAACAGATAAGTGACATTCTAAGTCAATTTCTCTCTTTTATTTTTTGTTGTGCTGTATTTAAACCATATTAATCTGGTAGTGTTTGCTTTGCTTTGGCTTTTTCTGGGTTAATTATTGTGATATCCCGATTGCAACAAAAATACTGGGAAATCTCTGTTGACTGATGACATTTCATGCCATTCAGCTGTATAATCTTAAAATGTCAGCAAAATCATCAGTTTTGTCATCACTTTAGACATTAAGCAGCATAACCATTTAAATTCTAGTTCTACAGTAATATATATATATATATATATATATATATATATATATATATATATATATATATATATATATATATATATATATATATATATATAAATAAATATAAAACCTCAGAATGTTTTCAGGAGCAACAGGTTTTAATTTTGTTTTGCCGGCACATGTTTTTTTTTTTGTTTTTTTTTTTTTACTCTCAAAGTTCCAGTGGCCGTTGGCTTGTATTTTTTGACACTGTATTTTCTGCAGCTGCTGAAGAAAAAGTCACCTACATCCTGTGTGGCCTGAGGGTGTGTAAATTAACAGAATTTTTTCATTTTTGGGTGAACTCTATAAACCTCTATTATTCATGATCACCAACTTCCTGTGATACAGCAGAACACTCCATGGAAAATATCAAAAATATTCAGTAAAAAAAAAGATATGAATGTATAGTTTCACTATTATTACAATAAAGTATATTCTTTCTATAAATCTAAAGAACTTTTCCACTATAAAGAAGTTTGTTTGATGGAAAGTTTTGGAACCATCAATGCCTTTATGCTAAAATAGATAAAATTAGTGAACACATTGTTTTGAATTACAATATTTTTTTATATATAAATTTACAAAGATTACGATGTTTAAAGTAAAATGGCCGTTGTGACAAAAAATGTCTGTAATTATCCAGGGTAAATTAGATCATCGCAATATTATATTTGCATAAATGCATAGGCTACTTTTTTAAAATGTTCACATTGTTAGTACAAGCATTAGATTGCATCAACAGCACTCTGAACTAATGTACATACTTGAGGGATTCATTCATTGCAAATTATTGAACTACTTTGATCAGTAGCACACAAATGGGAATATTACATAAAAGTGTTACAGCACTTTAAATCTGCCTGCACTAAAAACAACAATACCTTTCGTCATATATTGTTTACTCTGCTTTGCTCCTGTCAGCGGGTAAAAATATCGTAAGCCGTAAAATCCGAGGCAGGTAATTTGCATATCTCCATATTTTCGGACATAAGTCAGACAGACAGGAGTTGTGGTGTGTTTGTGTCTGACGCGCGGCCTCCTCTGGTCAGTTTAGCAGCAGTGTGGAGGCTGTAGATGCGCGCTGTGTCTCGGCGCTGTTGGAAGAGTCATTGTTCCTTGACGTCACCACTCAGCCAAGCCTGGCGCTGCTGCTCTCAAACATGTCTTTGTTATTCAGAGCTTTCCATCGGCGACTCGCAAAATACGGAAAGAGCCATTCCTTTTATACCAAGGTAGCGAGAGGACTCGCATGAACGCGCGTTTGTTTGGGGTTGGGGAGGTTTCTACTATGAGAATGTTGTTTACCATTTTATTGAAATGGAAGTATTGTAATATTGTATTATAGGCTATATTTGATGAAAAAAATATAATATATCTATAAGGAGATTAAAAAAGAGATTATAATATTAGATTTAAAAAAAATTAATTTTCAGTTATTATTACTATTAATATATTAATTATATACGTTTAAATATTTTTAGAATGTGTTTTATTAATCAATATTATTACATAATAATAATATGTAATTATTTTTAGTTTTTACAAATGTCAAATATCGATGTTTATTTTATATATTCATTTATCTGATATACATTATAAATATTTAATAAATATTAATTTTACAAGATGTAAATAAAACGACCCCCTAATTATATGTATATAATCATATCATCAATCACTTTACATCAGGTGTATTTTGATCCGTGTATCTTTAGTCATGCAAAGAAGGTCTTTGTCGATATCCTGAAAAGGCACCGCGGTCACTGTGGTTTGACTGCAATAAAATAAAGGCAAACGACACACTGTAGTCTTCAAACAGCAAACAACTGGCACTCGCGAGTAAATCCAGTCCGTTCGTCTGCACGCGCCGCCTGGTGTCTTCCAAAAGCGCGAGCAAGCGCTTTACGCGACTCTGGGACACATTTTGTCAGCAACCAGCAAGCATGGCTCTGTGGTAATAGAATAGCCCGTGTAATTTGACACTTCAACTTGCCGTGCACTACGTTAGTTGATTCAGACAGTCACACTAACGAAACGCCGTGCGCTTTTCTCTCAGTGTTTGTGAAGTGTGAAGGGAAGAAAACACACCGCAACTTCAAATCCAGGAGATTTTCGGCGCTGTGCTGTGATTGGACCTGAAAGTAAGTTGTGTTTGTGTTTTCCTATCATTTTCACACCTCGCTCGCTGGGAAGGATTTTATGCATTGCACTGAAATGAATCCGTAGCCTCCGCGCTAGCTCCAACCTCAGCTAACAATAGAGTCACTTAAAGTATCGCTAAGATGTGTTCACATGTATTTCTGCGCAGGAAACAAATGCACTTACTGAAGCGTTGACGAAACGGCTTTGTGTTTTCGAAGCAAAACACTATTGAGCAATTTTTCCTGGACAGTGGCGTTCAGAGGAACGCGGAATTTGGCTCAACCGGAGAAGCCCACCGTCTACATACCGTTCAGCAGATCGCTGTGGTGTGTTGCATTGTTCGGATGAAGAGGGCACTGTCATGCGGTGGACGGTTGGTTGGCACGTTTAGATGGGCACATCGGGATGGCTTCGTTGCACGAATACGATTTAAATCCACCGGCTTTTTTTTTTTGGTTTAGCCGCAATTATATCGTGGCTGCCTGATGATAAGTGATAGGAAACGAGGCTATCAACCATGTGCTGAAATGTGATGTTTCACGCCGAGCACTAGTAGCAGGACAGCCGCGTTCGGAAACACGATGATACATTGTAATCGCTGATACGTTGTAGCATTTCGTTCGAATCTTGAAATCCGCGAGTGCTTTGAATGTAGCGTTGGGGAGAGACTTTGAAGACAAACGAACAGCTTTGGGTACCAACTGACTCAGTGTGATATGGATTTCCTAATCAGATATGATAAATCAAGTCATTGTGATTTGAATTTAGTTTAATTATGAACACTATTACAACTGAAATTAGCATAATTACATGACTATAGACTTATAGATTGTGCTATTGCATATTGGTAAAAACATTAGGTTTGCAGACCACCTAAATGTAAGATATTCATAAAGATATCCAAGCAGACTGATTGTAAGTAAATAATGTGGTGTAATGCAGTTTTTGCTTTCAGGAAACACTTCACATTGTATTCACATTGTAAACGTTTTACAATTTTGTGTGCAAAATGTGATCTAAGAATAAATTGATTAAAGTGATGGTTAAGGAATAGGTTTCTTTTTGCACTTGTTTGTATTTTTAGTCATTATTATTGTCATAATCAAGTACTGCAATTTGTAATTGCTACTATATTACATTATGAATAATGTATACAACACTGGTTGTATGATAAACTAATGGTCACTATTGTTAACGCAAGTAGTAGTTTCTTGTTGGAAATGCTACAGCTTTAAACTTTTGGTTACAATGTTGTATTTTCCTACATGGTATTGTATGAAGGGATGTATTGACGGTCTTTATGATCAGGTCTGGCCCATCTTTTACGCTGCGTTCAAGTAAATGATTTGAATTTTAGATATTTCTCATTGCTCAATTGAGTTCCTGCAGGAAGGTCTACTGCCAATACTACTACAGCAAGCCTAAACACACAGCCGCTGCTGAAGTTCTTTCTAGCAACAGTTTGAGTTTACAGTAAATTGTCATTGTATTTACCAAAATAGCTTTTGTTTCCTCAAAACTACGCTTTAACATTCAAGTTTATTTTTGGTGGAAACGATTGTTTAAAACTTTTTCCAGCATTTTTTTTAAGAAAGTTGCTATTTCATGCTTGGTCACTACTCCTTCAGTACTGTACAATCACAGTCAATGTTTACATGGCTGTCAGAGAAGTGTGATAATGTTAAAAACGTTATGGTGGGTTGCTTCTGGAACAAAGGTGAAAATACTGCACTATCAGCTCGCTGGTTTTGAATTATGGTGTCGGTTTATGTTAACATTATTGGAGGAACTGTGATGTGAAGAACTATAATTGTTTGCAAATGTTGAACCCACTTACCAATCTGGAGACTCATCTGCTGGGAGTGTATTTTAAAACGCCACAGATTTACCCACCAATGTGATGTCCCCTCTGTGAGTGGCTTAAGTTGTATGAGTCAGGAATGGAGAATGTGTCTAGGAGAGGAGAGGAGTTTATTTTCCTCCCTCCTTCAGAAGGGGGCCCCCAGGTTGAGGATCATCATTACCAAGGGCAGAGGCTTTAGCCATAGTCATGTAAAGACACAGATAGAGCTCAAGCCATTCTGTCAACGGGACTAAAGAGGTATTGCGCGGGACTTAATTGAGCTTAATGTGGGATTAAACTTCCATAAGATTGTTGAAAAGTTGATTTCGCTGTGCCAAAATGGAGAGAATCGCCAGATATGTCATTGGAACAAACCAACATTGTCAAAATTGATCAGATTTTACACGCAAATTATTCAGTAACAGGTTTATTAGTCATTATTGCTCACATCCCTGCCTGTTTATGCACATTTTGTTTCTCTATTGTGTCTAGCCTAACAAATGTGTTCAAGGTTGTCCAGTTTAGCAGCGTAGTCTAGAGATGATCTCTTTTCACATTCAAATTCTTGGCATGTGTGACAAAAGCTCGCCTAATTCTCTGGGCGATTTAAGGGTGGGAATCGTGAGTGATTCTGCTTTACAATACTATCATGATACTTGGGTCACGATACCATACAGGAAGGGGACTGTTTATGAGGTGCTGTATGCCAAGTATTGTGCACTTGCAAACTTTTTATAATTTAATGGACGTATAAGATAATTAGAAGCAAAAAGTTTTTATTTTTTATTTTTTTTGTCCCAGATGAGAAGAAAATCATCAAAAAAGATAACTGTTATACTGTAATGATTTTCCCCCCAGGATACACAGAACTTATCAGAATAGTATTTTCTCATAGAATGAGCTTAAAATAGCAACAACATAATAATAATAATAATAATAATAATAATAATATTCATAATAATGATGATAATGCCGGGAAAAGATTACTCGCATCCAAAATATGTTTCTTTTCTTTTATATACACACAAGCTTGCATATATTTGAGATTATTAAAATTTGGATCTAAATTATTTAAGTATAGTAGAACTTGATGATATTGGAAAACACTGACATTGCGATATTTTGTTTTACCGCGATATGAATATAATGATGATTTTAATATCTCTGTTTGGAAAGATTTGGTTCTCTTTATATTGACTGGAGTGGTCAAGTCTTTTTATATGCAGTGCATCTGCATAAATTATAATAAATTGCGAGCAGAAGATATTCAGGGTAGCCTAACAGTATTTAAGTAGAGAAAATGAACTATCAAATGTAAAATAACATGGCCATCATTGTATAAATAATTTTTTTAATAATAATATTTAATTTTATCTTTTACTCTTTTGTAAATGATCTAAACCTGCGATGTGACTGTTGCGGATACACAAGATGCAATATTGATTCCCAAATGGTATATTGTTTAGCCCTAATGTCTATGGTACAAATTATATATGCATTTATATATCTTTGTAACAAAATAGATTTGTTTTATAAATGTGCATGTATAACATGCAAAGTAAATATAAACAATACACACACAAACACACAAATATTGTCAAAACAAACTTTTATTTTGAATGTGATTAATAATAATAATAATAATAATAATAATAATAATAATAATAATAATGATAATGATAATAATAATTAGAGCTTCTCAATATTGGTAAAAATTGATATTGCAATATTTTTTTCTCTGTTATATATTGTGATATAATTTCACCAGATGACAACTCTTTTTGCAACGACTTTAGATTGATTTGGATGCTTTTGATAGGGGAGAAAAATATAAAAATATTTTAATGCAATTTATTCAATACATAATAAACAAAATACATAAACACAATTGAGTTAATATTAAATTGAAATAAACAGTGATTTATGTTTTTCTGAGGAGAGTCTAACAGTATTCGGTTACAGAAATTAAATAATCAAATGTAAATTAACAATGCATAATGTTCATCATATAAATTGTTCAATAAAATGAATCTTTAATTAACTTTATGCTCTATTAAAATGCTTGAACTCTCTTAAAATGCTTACATAGTCACAGGCCTTAAAACACATGCAGATAAATAACTTTCACTCTATTCTGTTTAAATTCAGTAGAGTCTCCTACAAATCTCATGTGTTTTGACCTGTGGTTCCTGGTCATCTATAATCCCAACTCAACATGTCAAATCTTGCGATGTGACTATTGTGGACACACACATTACGATATCAATGCTCATGATATATTGTGCAGCCCTAATAATAATAATAATAATAATAATAATAATAATAATAATAATAATAATAATAACAAGTAAAACTAATAAATAAATAAAGTAAAATTCAATTTTGTAAAGTAATTGCATGACAATATGTATCTTTGTTTATTATTACAGGTCAAAAAGAGGTTCTAATGTCCCTGCCACTCATCTACAGTAGTGTTGCACATTGCATTGCTGTATTTCCTCTACATACCTGTAGCCAGAGTAAGATAATGTTTTGTACAACTGGAAATCCTAATCAGCATTCTGACAGGTTGACATTTAACTGTTAGCACACTATTGTGGTAAAATTGTGAAATAGTTGGCCCACGTTCATTCATCATAAAGCCGAACGCTTGTCTAGCCACCACCCGCACACACCCACTCTTGAACCCAAGTCAGGCTTTGTTTGAGTCCGCATGCTGCACTGTAGATCATTTATTACGCTTAATACACTGACTGCCTTTTTTTAACGGTTCGCATTACGTCTGCATAACCGCCTGCTCGACTTTCACTGGTGATCGGGGTTAATGCGCTAACATGAAGAGTAGCCTCCGAACCACAGATTCTTCAGACAATAGTAGTGCATAACTTCTGATTTCCTTGCAGACTTGTTCTGTTTCATCTTGCGGTTCGTGACCTCGGCGAGGCAGAGGGAGAGGGACTTTTGATTTTAATTACATGCATCTGCAAAGAGCGTGGCGTGGGACCCAATCTGCTTCCAGGCTGCATAAGTTGAAAGCTTGTTGAAGGCTGCCTCCGACTCTCGAGCTGACAATGTGACCATGGATGCACTGGGATGCGATGTGCAAAGCATTAGCTAGCTGGTGCCATTCTAAGTGCTTTACCCCTCAGATAGGGA